ATTGTCCGCTCTCATGTGTGCCGTGAAGACATCAAGGTTTTGTATCACCTCATGTAGTGCACCTGCCGTTTTTCGCAATTCCGCCTGCTAAGTGGCCAGCCGATCTCCGGCGATGTTAACTCCTATCATAGCATTGGGGGTTCTGGAGTACTCGATAGTGATTATAGTGCCAACACCTTCGTCTTGGAGTCTTCTTTTCGTCGAATTCCCTGTAAGAGACATCCACAGATGGTATTTGCTTTCTTCTAGGGTGGCATAGGCTGCACTCTGATTAAAAACTGTGGTTAACGCAAGTCCCGTTACTAATTCCATAAGTTACAAGAGGTTTAGAATTGACGTTGGAACAGATATCATAAGAGTTCCTGCTCATAAACGTTCACGACGGTGGAACTATGTTTCTTTTTATATACGTGTGTATTTGCTGTGTGCGAACAGTAATCCGAAAGGTCAATCAAAGAAAGCTCGTACTCGGGCCATCGGGTTTCTTCTCATCGCTCATACACGTCCGTATTAGTCCGATAGTCAAAGTGTTTTCCCTGGGGACTGCCGTTGACTTTACAGTTAGGAGCTGGTTTCCGCGTGATGCCAATGGTCCTCGTCGCTAACTCGTGTGCCGACAAGTCGTTTCTTCTGCCCATTATAATGATAGTGTTTTCCTTGAATGAACATATCCGATAGTCACAAACGGAGCATTAATAAAATACTCCGAAGTTTCGCCTGTTTTTTGCACCCATGACTACTTGTTGACTATGTGGACTTTTGACTTACTTTTTGCTTTTTAGGACTACCATCCTCCCAGCCGAACGACAAATGCACATCATGATTGACCGTTTAAAGGCCTTTCACACGAAATTCATGGCGAAATACAGCTAAACAATGAGTGGCTTCTAGTCTTATCCCTCTTCCATTCTTTTTACTTTCTTTCATTTTTTTGTTCCCTTCTTACTGACCTGAAACTTACGCTTACATACGCTTCTTACAATAATGTGCTGAAGATCAGACAGAACTCCGAATTAGTATCGCTTATCGTGATCTCTCATTCCAGACCCTCAAAGGAATCACTTCCGAATCCACTTCTTAATCCTCGTCATCCTTTTTTATACCGCCAGTGCGCGATATTTTTGCACATTTGTCAGAAATCCTCACCCTGGTCTTCAAACAAAAGATTTTTTAAATAATATCGCTGTTGCTTGGCTGAAGTCTGTTAAGAATGGCAAACTCTCTGTGTTTATATGTAGGTAATGACACTTTTGTACGGCTGGAAGGTAAGTTCAAATCAGGGATTCAGAGGGCAGTTTTTTTACTATTAAATTGACGCTACATTTTACGAACTATCACAGGAGGAGAGCCGAACGACAAATGCACATTATGATGGACCGTTTGAGGGACTTTCGCAAGGAATTCATGGCAAAAACCTAAATAATGACTGCCTTATGATCTCCTCCTTTCATTGTTTTCCTTCCCTCCTTACTGACCTGAAGCTTTCGCTTTCATGTTTTTTACGCTCCTGTACCGAACATCAAGCAGATCGTCTGGTCAATATCACTTGTTCAGATTCACCATTCCAGAGCCTTAAAAAAGTCACTTCGCAATTTGCATCTTTGTCCCTTTTTATACTGCCAACGTGCGCTACTTTTGCGTAACTGTCAGACGTCCTTTTAAAGAATACTGCCGTCTTGGCCGAAGCCTGTATAGAATGGCCAACTCTCTGGGTTTATACGTAGGTAAGGACGTTTTCGGATGGCTGGGAGTTTAGTTCAAATAAGGAATTCCCTAGCATTTTTTAATATTCAGATGAGGCCACATTTTACGAACTCTGATAGCAGGAGAGGAGGAATTTGTATGGCATATTATGTGACGATGGGGTTTCCTAGAGCTACATTCGGGCGGCCGTCCCTGCTAGTCGCAAATTAGACCGCATCCAGACGCACACAAGTCCGTAAATTCTACAAAAGGCATCATAAATCAAAAAGACCGGAACAAAAGTCGAGAAAGTCCGAGTGAGGTGAGCTCCCTTTAGTGGGCAGGTTTTGCAAAGATCCAGGAGTTTACGAGGTACATACAACTTGTTTACTATAATCACCCACCATTGACGCGACTGACAATGACTGCGTGTGCGATTCAGGACCCGAGAATTCGAGCTTCTGATCATAGAACGCGCTTGTACTTCCCTACATGGTCACAGCTGTGAATCGCAGATAGCATGGTTTAACGCTTCCCGATTAGAATCGAATGACGTATACTAGCAGTGGGTATGATCACAAAAAAAACTAAGATGTAGTCGTGATCCAACTGGCCGGCGTGACAGCACGACGTTCGTTTGACCGATCATCGGAAAAAATGCTGACGTGAACACGTAAATTGTTGGCCTGTTGGCGCAAACACATCGACAGCCGAAATAAACCGAGGAAATGAGATTATTCCACTAAACCGGCAGGTGCAACAAGACAGGCCATTGACGTATGAGAGAGGTGGTCACGTAGCCACGGTAATTTTCTGAGCGGGAGCCGAGGGGGTGGGGCCGTACACCTCCCTGTACTAGAGGGTGAGAATAGATTGTGCATCATTGGGATTGCGGGCGGCATGTAACGTTGATGTTGGATTAGGACAGTCGTGAATGTAGATCCTTGTAAGGGGCTCTTAGGTCAAGATGGCGATTGATATCGCCTTCGTCAAAGTTTTAAGACTCGAGCAATTCATTCATTTGATTATTTCTGAAGAACCGCTACCTTTTTTATTATATCCATTCGGATTGCATACCTCCTCAGAGTATATTGTTGGCGCCTGTGTAGTGTGTCTTTGCTTGTGGGCCAGACGGTAGATGCGCTGGACTTATACAGGACCTGAACAGTAAGCAAAAATGTTATTGATAATGCGCACCCTTTATAAATGCGCATGCATGG